CGGATTTTCACGGTGGGTGAACCCAGTGGCTGGACTCGCCGGCCTGCATGTCGCGAGACCGCCTCACCACGCCGGGCGTCTCAGACGACCGGTCGGGGAAGGAGAAGCGTTCAGAAGGGTCCAGCCCCTCCAGAGGCAGTGGAGGCAGTAGGTAGCCGCCGCCATTCTGACCGCCTCATCCTCTTCCTCTCTATGCGAACGGGATCGGATCTCTCCCGAACCCGCTCGTCATCCTCCTTCCGCGAGAGGACTGCCTCGCAGAAGGAGGACACCGCCCTCCAGGACCCCTCGCTCTCGACCATGGCAGCAACAACGGCCGGCGGCGAAAGGTCCCACCCAACAACGATTTTGAGCGCCCGCCTCTCTGACCAAAAGGCCGGGCACTCCTCCAGCATATGCTGAGCTGAGTCTACCTCAGCCCCGCACTGGTGGCATTCGGCCGTCGCCTCGGCCCCAATCCTCAGCAGGTACTCACCGAAACAGCCATGTCCGGTGAGCACCTGCACGAGCCGGGCTCGACGCCTCCACTCCTCGACCGCACCATCCGGCGGGGCGGCACCACTCCGACGAAGGATTTGCAGAGGTCGATATATATCGGCGTCCGTCTCCGTCTGGAGATCAAACGGCACCACCCCCGCCAGGACGGCAGCCGCCTCGGGGGATATGGTGCGGTAACCCCTCGCGACCCTGATGGCCATGTGCCTTTGCACGCGGCACAGCAGTATCCTGCTGCGCCGACAGGTTATCAGGTCGCTGGTCCATACGGGCGATTCGTACAGGGCCATTGACCGCACCACTCCCACGTAAAGGCGCCGCACCCTCTCCTCCGGGCCCCCGAGGTTGGGCATTAGACAACCCAGTAGGGTCGCTTCGCCCTGGACTCGAGGGACCAGGCGGTCGAAATAAGCCTCGAAGCGCCAGCGGCTATCCAGCTCGAGGCCGAGGTACCTCATTGTACCTCATTGGGGCGTCTGCCGCAACAGAAGCAGTTCGTGAAACAGGACAGCCTCCGTTTTCTGCGGCGAAATCTCCAGCCCCAGTGCCTGAATTCTGGCGACGACGATCGCCACCGCCATCTCCGCCAAGCGGATGAGCCCCGTCCCGGGGCGTTCCGTCACAATGATCAGCGTGTCGTCTGCATAGCAGACGGGAGCAGCCCGCGCAGTACCGAGTCGTACCCCAGGTTCCATATCAGGAGTCCTAAAACAGACCCCTGGGGCACGCCCCGGTTGACACACCAACATACCGGCCGTCCGTCATGTCGGGGAACTCGATCCACCTGTCCGACAGATAGTCCCGCAACACGACCCGCAAATAGGTGGGCACTTCATGATCTTGGAGCGCCTCCTGGATCGTGCCCCAGCGCAGAATGTTAAAGGCGTTGGCGATGTCAAGGCTGATCGCCAACGCCAGCCTGTCCCAGGAGAACACCCGGCCCGCGAGGGCGCGTACGTGGTCGATCGCGTCAAGCGTCGACTTGCCTCCGCGGAAACCGTACTGGCAGTCCCCCAGTCCGGGACCACCATTGGACAGGATCCCCGACAGGCGGGCAGTGAACACACGCTCGAAGAGCTTGCCCACCTCGTCGAGGAGACAGATCGGCCGATACGCGGAGGAATCGCCCGCGGGCTTTCCCTTCTTCAGGACGAAGACCATCCGCGCCCGCTTCCACTGAGGAGAGATGGTCGATTCCAACCTAACCCGAAACTTCTTTCATGATTATCTCAACACGCCTGCAATATTTTCTAAATTTAAAGGCATTTCTTCTTATGTAAACCACATATAAGCTTTCGAATAAAACCAAAATCAATCAAATCGGTCCACGTACAACTGAGATATCGTAGTATCATGTCATGAATCTGTCAGAAACGGTATCTTTCGTATGATTTTCCCGTCGTCAACCCTTAGCCAATAGAAGCTAAGCAAAAGCCGAGCGTCGTTTGTCGACTCTCGGAATCATTCGGTTCGGCATGGCTCGTCAGCCATCGAGCGTCGAGAGTCGAAATAGATAACCTGTGTCAAAAGTTTTTACACTATTGCATTATGAATTAAATTTATATCAGCAAAATGTTTTCAATTTAGACTTTTTATGTAGGGTTTAATAACAAATTGCAGCCAGTGTTGTAAAATGTTGATCGATCTTGATTACAAGCTAAGTTGTCAAAATCTGAATGGCGAGATACCTTTATTCATACAGAAAACTGTTTTCAATATAGATCCATACCACCAAAGTGTTTTGAATTTAGACTTTTTATGCAGAGCTTATACAAATGAAGGAAACTACAGGCTTGGAGGTTATTCGTTAACAAATTGCAGCAACTGTTGTAAAATTTAGACTTTTTATGTAGAGTTTACAGAAATATCAATTTTATTTTTATAATTTTAAAATAGATTCTATATAATAAATTATTTGTAAAAAGAAGTGAGATCCGATAAAAGACTTCAAGAAAGTAAAAGAGTTACGCCAAGTACATGAAAAAGTGGAGGACTCAAGGAGTTATCATTGAAAAATAGAAGATCCGCATAAAACACTACAAGAAAATAGAAAAATATGTGAAATCGAAATAAGCTGCCAGATGATTTGCCTAGATTTCCGCGGCCTGCAATTCAAATGCTTGGCGTGGCCAGGCAAGGGCAAGGTGTCGATGAATAAGAATTATTTTAAAACGCAATACAATGAAAGTGTACTCATAATATTGTCAGAGTTTTAAACTAACAAATTATCTAAAAGCTTGCGAGAGTAAAGGTATTGGCGTCGATGAATGACCTTAGAAATATTTTAAAACCCAATACAATGAAAGTGTACTCATAATATTGTCAAAGTTTTAAATTGACAAATGACCTGAAAGTCTGTGAGAGAGAAAGTATGGGTATCGATGATTTAAGAATGCTTTGCCTGGCCACGCCAAGCATTTGACTTCCAGCCTGCGGAAATCTAGGCAAATCATCTGGCAGCTCATTTCGATTTCACATCTTTTTCTACTTTCTTGTAGTTTTTTTATGGGGATCTTCTATTTTTCAATGATAACTCCTTGAGCCCTCCACTTTTTCATGTTCATTAATTACAACAGTTACAGTACGGAACCGGGCCATGATCGACCCTGTCCTGAGTGGTGACCGCTTCGGGGTGGTTGGAGGGCGCAATCGCTACTTCCTTCCATTCCTCAGCGCGATCCTAATCATTAATTATTAACTTACAATGATATATTAAATATTAAATCTCATGTATATATTGCAACGTGATTTCCCGACACGGTCCGCGATCCGCGTCGGGAAGCGTGAAAAATGAGAATTTTCCGACTTCTCACGCCTTTACGAGAAAACCCGAGCGCCAGGTATCAGGAGATACCGGCGTGAGAAACCGAACTACGCGAAAATTACCACGGCTAGCGATCCGGATCGCGGAGAGGGGTGTGGATCGTCGGCGAGGAAAGGAAGTCTGAGAAAGCCGTCTTCACGGCAAGACGGGGCGGATTAACACAGCACTCGTTTAAAATAATATAGAATATATTGTACGCGAAAGATGTTACAAAATACGGTGTACACTGTGCTGATTTCGTTCACGTTAGCCCAAATTCCGTCGCGATTCGCACAAAAGCGACTTTGGAAACGATGTTCGGACAGTCTTGACGCGGTCGCGGTGGGCTCAACACGTGCGCGTTACAATGGACTCGCGACTAGATGTTCGTTATTTCGTGCAATAACCTACGAAAAGGCGATTTACGATATCCTATCTATGAGCGTGAGGTAAAGGAGGAAGCGCTTACCGTACCGTTCCGCACGTGCGTCGCTGTCGAAATAGGACGAGATACGCGAGTTCGTCGCACGCGTTGGTTCACGCGCTTCCCCCTAGCCTCACCTCAACGGTCGGCAGCACGCGGCACACTATGGCGGCCAAATTCAAATTGCGTTATCGGTGCGCTCGTTATCGGCGGTCGTCCAGTCTAGTCCCTCGGTGACTTTGGTGGCGTGTCGGTGCTGGCATCCCTCGAAGACTCTGGAGCGGGCCGGGTCTCGGTGCACTCGAGAACTCGGCTGACTCCGCTGTCCAAAACGGCATCCTGCCCTCTGAAGGTCGTAGCGGAATCCAGGGGCTGTTACCAAGAACCTCCAGCCCCTGTCCATTTGAGCTTCGTCTGGCCAGTCCGTGCAGCCGGCGCCGGGTTAGACGGGATCGGTAGCCTCTAAGCCGCATCGCTCGATGTTGCCGTCGTTAGCCCAACGCTATTGCCCTTCAGATACCCAAATTAGTCATAACCCTGGGTTACTCTGGTGGCGCTCGCGATCTTGGTCGGTCTCGTTCCCCGCGGAGAGTTCACCTACTTTGTGACGCGGCAATCTGCCACGACACAATATTTACTTAAAATTATTGTATTATAAAAGCAAAGCTAAAATGCGAAAAAATGTAAACAAAATTTATTTTCGATTAAAAAAAAAGTTAGGTCTCAATGGGACTTTTGGCATTAAGTGGGGCATAAATGAAAATTTTTTTGAGGGACGGGAATAAAAAAAATTTAAATAGTGTTGAAATTTGAAAAATGAATGTTTCTCTCGGAAAATCTAAAAATTGTATAGATCATAAATTCAAATATTTTGTTTTGAAATTTTTTCGTAAAGTTCATTAAGAAACACACATTTTAAAAGAAAAATGTTTTATTTGGTCAATTTTTAAAAGAATTATAGCTATTTGAAGAAAAATGTTTTTCTAAATTCATAACTTTTTTTGTTTGAGTAAAAAAATTTGAAAAAAATCACGGTAAGGTATATAGTAGGATACTATAACATATACAAATGTCAACCAAATCGAAAGCAGTCGGATTCAGAAGTGGTTGATTTGGGATGAAATGCCTTATATACTATAGAAGTGTTATAAGAAAATTCTCATGACGTTACATCATTTTTATTCAGGCGTAATAAGAGTTAGCAACTTACTCTAAATATAAGTACATCAGTTTTGATGTTTCTTTGTTATTGGTGTATGGGAGAATAAAAAGAATGGATCAGAAGAAAGACAGAGTAACATTTATTATAAAAAGCGTGTTACTACAATAGTAAATGCAAACAGTAAAAAAATGAAAGAGCAACGTAATCAGTAAGGAATATTCATGTCGTAGTCATCCTTGTGATAAATGAAAATATTTTTGAACATCATGTTAGGTCCATCGTATGCGAAGTCGTAAATTGGTTTATCTAGAGGGAAACCATATGGGTTATTGTCAAACATGTAGTTACCCCATATTCTGGAGAAATACTGGCGTTCCTGTGAGACTGGGCTAATATACAAGAATAATTGGAATGGCATTCCTTCTTTTTTGCCTTTTGGCAACAGTAGTCTTTCTGGGAATCCTGAGATCCTTTCGTAATAAGTGAATGGTTCGCTATAATTAAGAGATCTTTGAATTTTCTGATAGTACAATTCACTTGGTTCTGGATCAGAGCTTAGGAAGAAGCAATCTTTGCTGTTACGTGTGATTTTATTTGGACCTGCATTCACTGTTAAGAAAAAATAACAAGTTACATTAGGTAAATATTCAAATGTCAAAAAGTAATGGACTTTAAAAGTACCTGAAAGATGAAAACTTACAATCAACAAACCAGTTGTCCATCTCGTAGAAATATTTGAAATTTTCCTCAAAGTCTGCGTATTTGCGATTCGAGTTAAATGCTGGTCCAAGGAAAATTCTGAAAGCTGCCTTCATCGGTTTGTCTGCAGTAACTGCAATGTGGAAATTGAATGGTTTGTGATTCAGACGGTATTGTCTCACTTTGACTAAAAGTGTTTCAGCTTCTGTATCATCTTGAACCATTAAACCATTGCTTATCGATGCGTCGTATTGATCAAAATATGTAATTAATTTATCAACAGCAAAGGATTGAATTTTCAGGTTGGGATAAACAATTTCATCCTTGGTGTATGGTTTCTGTAGCATACTGTATCTATAAACATTGAACAACATTAATTTCTTTATTGGTTTTGAATTATGTGAGCTTTATTTCGAGTCCCTATAATGTTATCATTAGACTGCGGATCTTTATGCAAAATAAAATCTTCGCGAACGTGTCTACAAATATTGAACCTAAATAGGAATTTATTTTATTCTGCAAATATTATAACATGAATTTTTTATATTCTTGCATATTGTTTGCATTTTGTAGTTTTTTGCACATTCAAATTTCCTATAAATGCGTAAAGTTCCGCAGTCTAGATATCATTAACAATGCATTCTTAAACTAACAAATTATATGATTTGTTTAGAATATCACTAAAGATCGATTAGTATGAAAAAGTAGTTACCTGTAATAATAATCAAGCACTCTCTTGTATAGTCGATAGAAAGCAGGGTCCCTTAGTGAAGTGGAGAACATTTCTAAAGAGCTAGGAACTAGTTGATAACTATTTGCTGGTTCTAAATTGAAACCAAGGATCTTTCTTCCAAAATAGTCAATGCTGCCATAAAAGTCTCTATTGTAGGAATCAGCGTTACCCTCGATTAAGTTTCCAAGAATATTCAAACCTTCTGGAGTGTAAATATTGGCCCATTTACCATCACTTTTTAGTACAAAACCAGAATCAATTGCGGCAGATAATCTCGACTCCATATCGCTAATGTCCTATAACGAATGAAGTTATGCTAATGAATTAAATTCCGATTCATGGAAGGGAAGTGTAATTTCTTATCAGTTTACTTATTTTCTAGGGAAGAGTGTAATATCATTATACTGATTACAGAATTTCAGTTTTAATTCAAAATTAATTTTGCTGAGTTACAGTGAAATTACACTAGTCTGACGTTTCCAACAATTTAACAGTATACTTCTGTAAACTCTTTATTAAAATATGTGTAGCAACATATCACTATAAATTACTTTTTCCAGTCTTGTGATTACTGTATCTTTCATTAGATGTCTTTTTAACCGACTTCGAAAAGGAGGAGGTCACTCAATTCAACATGTATATTTTATGTTTTTTATAAATTTTTAATGACACACGACCGAATGTACCAATTTAATATAATATGTAGTGCATTTACCTTGATGTATTTGTATTTGTAATATGGGAAGGAGCTCCAGTATGGCCTTTGGGTAAATGGTAATCCGCCAGCAAACATCATGGTGGGATAGTAACCAGGGTAGAAAGGTTTATTCCAATCGAAATCTTCAAGCTTAGGCAAGTCATTCGAAAGTCTTTCGAGGTTGTATCTATTCAGTAATTGTTTATGTCCATAAAGGTATTCCTCTCCACGATAATTTGGGAAGCCAAATTCTTTGGATTTTTGCCAGAATGGGAAGTTTTGTCGGAAGAAGAAATAGTACTCGTTTAACCCAACATCTTCCACAAAATAATTCAATTTGTTCTCCATATTGTACTCGCGGTTAAGGTACCAGCCAGAATAATTCGCATTGATAAAGTATGTTGTGTAATTAGCAGATTTCGGACCTGAAATTTAATGTTCCTTAACGTTAACAATGGTAGCAGATCTTTATCTCGATGAATTCGAAAGTATTTTAATTAGCTTTTCAGAAATGCAATTCGATAATAAGTACTGTATAATTTAATCAATGAAGGGTAATGCGATGGAAGTACAATTGGACTATGGTTGTTGTTCATTTACCTTTTTATAAATTTAAATGTTTTATAAATAAATTAATTTTTCTATGATAAGATTGAAACTAAAGCAAACCTGCAAACTTGCAATGTCTTTATCATTTTTCTAATTTCTTATACATTTACAAAGTTTCTATAATTTTTTGATGCGTTTATAAATTGTAGGGAAACATACAACTTACTTATTGAAGACACTTGTAAATTTACATGAAATTGTAAAATTACATAAAGTTTTCAAGTAACAGGTAAACTAATGAATTATCTATTTGTAAGTTTATATCAATTTTGTAACGAGTCAAATGTTGATTAACTTCCAAGGGCTTTAAGTATTTAATCATTAATTGCAGTTAACAATAGACTTTCCAATTGCAATTAACGTTAATTATATTCAAAATTTGTCTTTTGAATTACAATTACAATTCATTCTAAATTGAATATAATTTTCAGTTATTATTGATATAAATTACAATTTTTTACCTGGTTGATCAATTGATAGAAAATGTAATTACTTAATGTTCTACACTTTCCACAACGGGTCTGTATGCGTTACCGTAAGACCGATTCTTAATTTTAACAAAGATTTGGATAGTTGACGTCACGTACTACAAAACGTATATTCTAGTTTTTTGATAAAATGTTTTAAAGTATGACCCGCTGAAAAAAGCGCATTGAAAAATTCAGTTTGCGACTGTGAGAAAACCAATTATCCGATAATTACTGCTTTTTGCACACGCGAAGAACATATTAATCACTACTTGTTCCCAAAAGGACAGCGCTTTAGCTTAAAAAATGGCGGAGATAGGAATTTTTGAAAAAAAAACGCTGAATTTTCCGGTTTTCCAGATTTGTCTCCGCTTTTCATTATCCGATCGAAACGGAACAGAGTTGGGAGTGAAAAACATATACCTATTAATCTACGCATCCCCTTTTATGTAACTGCACAATCGGTTTGCTGTTCGTATTTTTGTCACACAAAAATGCTCTATTGATTGGCCTAATAAGATACTTACCCATCTTGCCGTAAATCTGTGGGTAGTGGGCTTTTTCGAGCACTTCCGAGTTGTAGAAAGCGTTTGGATACAATTCATATACTGGCGGAAGTTGGATGTACTTAGTATCTGGCCTTCTAATTATTGCATTGTAAAGGGCGTAAATGTACTGGCCCTCGTTCATATAAATTCTTGCCCAAAGAGCCGTTTTATAGAACACGTCGAAATCGTTTGCGTAATAGAAAAGGTCGAATAAGGCCATTAATTCTTTAAGCAGCTTTGGATAATAAACCGAAAATAACGCTCCTCGAGGAAGCATTCCCTTTTCGTAGAAGGAGAGGAATTTCTTCGCAGCCTGGAAATTGTTTTGGAAAATTATTATTTGTAACTCAATATTATATTTAATATTTATAATGTAATACCAATGGAATATAAATACACTCTATTTATACAATGAAAACATTTAATTTACTATTAAAATTATTTATTTATATTTAATAAAATAGTTTTTTCTACATTTTACGTTTGCTAAATCCATTATTAAGTCGTTAAAATCTAAAGATCTTAATAAATCATTTTCTATAAACAAAGAGGCCAGAGAGGATAATTTTTCATTTAACATTGTAGATCGATGTAAATCTGCATAGTTATCGACAGAACATATTCAAATTCTTCAAAAAACTGTTTTCACTGAGAAGTTTTCATACAATTTTACTAAGAAAATATGAGGCCCTGTTGAAAACGAGGCCCGAAGCTATAGGCCCCTTAGCCTTATGTAAATCTGGCATTGACTATTTATAACTTAATATATTTATAAATAATACTACTTTATAACTTATACATCGTTAAATATTAATTTTTAGTTCATTTGTACTGTCATTCTTCACAATAAATTGTTGCAACTTTTGCACCAACCATTTCTGGTTCTATGTCGACCGAGACTCGATAAAAATCAAATGGGATCAGACAATTTGGAGCCTAAAGGGTTGAGAAATTTGTACGCAGGTAAATGTTAATTCGTGTATATTTAATTTTCGTATTATTTAAATTTTTACGTTGGTAAAGAATTTATTAAAATATCGATAAGTTTTCAAACAACGTGTAAATTCATGAATTTTTCGTAAATTTACAGAAAACTTGTAGATTAGTGAAATATTTATTAACTTTCCAGATACGAAAGTGTCTTAATTAATTAATTAATTAATTGTTACCAATTTAAAATAATTGCAATATATCAACTATATACCCAAGAAAATATAAAAATCACTGCATGACTAAGGGGACATCGGCTAGGTCGACATAAATATAATTTGGTTTAATAATTATTAGCAATTGCACGCAGACGTTACACGTGTAAAAATATTCTAAAAAATATTCCTAAAAAAATTTTGTGACATTCTAGTTTATTAATTTCTTTTTTTATAATCAATGATATTCTACATACTCTCGGAAATCTTTAGGATAGATATAATCCAAACAACAGTTATTAGTTTATATAATTTGCGAAATTACTAAGAAAATACGAAAAATTGGCAGACATATAGAAGCAATAAATATTTGTACGGTTTTTATAACGAACCATTTACAATAGAATTTGTGACATAAACACATCAGTTTATAGTTTCGTACGAATTAGAAACATTAAATTTACTGTAAAGAAGTCTTAAAAAATGTTTTAATACAAAAGTGGAAGAAGATCTCATCCCGAATAACATAAAATTTAGTTCATTTACCTAATGCCTAGAAGAGTTGCAGAAATTATAAAATCAAAATGAAATCCCACGAAGTATTAATTATTTATAAATTAATGTAAATTTCATGTTTTTTTTTTAGTGAAGTTTTAAAAATTTAATAGTTCGAATATTTATTGCTTCTATATTTCTATCGATTTATTGTTTTTTCTTGTTAATTTTGCATCTTATATATATAACTAATTTTTTTTATACTGCATCTAATGTAGAGATTTCCAAGAATATGTAGAATATCATTGTTTATAAAAAAGAAGTTAATAAATTACAATTGAACGTAGTTTTATTTTTTAATTGACCAGTGTACGAATACTTACTACACCCAGTGTACATGCAAATGAAAAGAGTTACCAACCTCATTTCCGTAGGAGTTAAGGTTGGATTCGATGCTCCATGCTTGGCCCTCATCGTACAGGTCGCGATTCACCACCATGGGTTGGGAGACGTGATAGAGCAGATTGTAAACTTTCTTCTGCTTCAAGAGATAATCCGTGTCGGCCGTTCTTGTTTCGTAGTACGCCGCCTGGGCGAAAGAAATGGCCAGCAGCCCCAGAAGCCACAGCCGCAACATCTTGTATCGGGTGAAGAACTGGAATCCTAAGGCGATGATGCTGGCTGCGCTGTCACTCTTATACTCATTGTCAGTCATCCCCTCTCTGTGTTATTTATTATTCAAGAACAATCAGCTTGTGTCACCGTGATTGTTCATTACAGTGATTCTCAACAAAAGAGTGTACACCCTTCTCCACAACGATTGTTTTCAAGGACCACAGGCGAAACCTTCTTCGGTTTATAAATAATAAGCTACGTGAGATTTACAGCTTCAATAAAAATGTTGGGATTGGTGGCGATTCCAAATGTTTATGCTATTTCTTTGCTCAGTCATTACTTGTAAAACAGCACCAAACCCCTTTCAACAAGTATGAAGTCACAAATGTTATAATTAGACTGCGGATCTTTATGCAAAATAAAATCTTTGCAAACGTACCTACAAAAACGGAACCTAAATAGGAATTTATTTTACTCTGTAAATATTATAATATGAATTTTACTCTGAATTTTTTTATATTCTTGCATACTGTGTGCATTTTATAGTTTCTTGCACATTCAAACTCCCTATAAATGCAGCCAGTTATAATTTAATTTTTAATTTTTATCTAACGCGACCGAAATGTATTGGATAATATATTTACGATTCATCCACGTTAAGAAATAATGTTCCAAATCATGCTATACAATTACAATTTAATCATATATAACTTCTTTCTAAAGTCATTTCTAAAGTCTTTCTCAATCATTAGCAGTACTTTCATCGTAATATTTAGAAACAATTATTGTAAATAGAGAATTAATTTGATTAACAAATTAGTTTGCTCTTCCTTTCCTTCGATTCCTTTGATTCTGAAGATGTAGTTGTTTGTATAATTATTATTAATAAATATGCGTTAATTTTGGTAGTTGTAGTGTTAAAATGATCGAATTATTAACTCTTTGCATTCGAGAGGAGTTTCATCTGGTGACTAAAAAGTGACAATCTTTATTCGTGTTAATTTTTGTGATAATACTAAAAGGGTCCAATATGTCCCCCCCCCCCCGCCGGAAGAAAAAAAAATTTGATTTGAATCTCCTCATTGAAGTGCAGTACCATTAGGGTAGTTAAAACCAAGTACCAAATTTTGAGATTTTTGACCAACGTTTTCACAGCGCAAATTTTTTATTTCTTTTGCATATTGTTATCGACATTAAACTGACGTGGAATGATAAGATCTTGAAATGACCTTTGACTTTTAAAACTTTCGATAAATTATATATTTAACCGATTTTGAAAAGGAGGAGGTTACTCAATTCGACATGTATATTTTTTTTTTGTTTTTCTTTTGTAGAGCATGTCTCCGAGGTGGTCTCATTATCAAAAAATTTTGACATTCCTCATTTTTTACCCGTTTTTTTTTACAAAAGACCGAAAAATTTTATATTGGTTCTTATTCCGAAACGAATCGACCAATTGGATTGAATCTTTTTGCATCTGGTAGGGCTTCGTTGCCTCTTAAAAGCTTAAAAAGATATTTGACCTACTTCCATTTTTTACCACTTTATTGCACTTTTTATCGCAAAATTGTACTATTTTGTCACGTATGTTCGGCCTGAATTCGATAAAATCGATGAAACCCTTTATATTTTGCTGTCGGACAGGTTTTCGAGTTGATCACTTAGCAAAAATGATTTTTCTTATTGTTTATAACTATTGTTATTGCAAAATTCCAATTTTGTTTTGTGAAACTCGGCGAGGAATTTATCGATCGAGATTGAACTTTCCGCATTTAATGGCATTTAATTTCATAATTTTTCCATTTGTAAAAATCCATGAATTTCTTAATGTTTATAACAATTGTTGCTGAAAAATTTCTATTCTTTTATGTAACTTCGGCAAGGAATTAACCGATCGAGATGGAACCTTCTACATATAATGACAGCTGATTCCCATTTGCTGTTCCCATTTGGAAAAATTTTTGAATTTTGTAATGGTTACAATAATATATTCTAAGTAACTTTCATTTTAGAAATCAAAGAACATCTCAAAGTCATATCAGATACACCTGAACGCACCTGTATGTCATCTCTAACATGCAGAGTGAAAGAAACATGCACTTGTACGTAAGAAAATATTGATAACATTGAAGTCTACAGAAACTATTTGTTGCAGTCTATTCTTTTAGATATTTACTAGGCGAATACATTTATTTCATCTTATAACAAGCTTCAATTATTAAAGTTTACATGCGTGGATACATATAGTACGGTATACAGGGTGTCCCAAAAATGTTGTAACACCTTGAAAGAGGTAGTT